ACATCACAAACAGAGAAAAGAGACCATTTCTACTGATTTTGTTCAAGTTTTTGGGCTTTGAAAACAGGGCGGCCATTTTGTCACGTTGTGGAACCATTTGTCAGGTTTAGTGTTTTCTAAATTGTCCGTGGAAACAGAAATGGGACAGAGGACAAAAGGACGCTCGGGCGAGGACTGAAGGAGGTCCAGACTCAGGCAAGGACTGAAGGAGGTCTGGACTCAGAAGAGGACTGAAGGAGGTCTGGACTCAGGCAAGGACTGAAGGAGGTCTGGACTCAGGCAAGGACTGAAGGAGGTCTGGACTCAGGCGAGAACTGAAGGAGGTCCAGACTCAGGCAAGGACTGAAGGAGGTCTGGACTCAGAAGAGGACTGAATTCAATGGGAAAATTAGAAAGCATCATGGGACACTAAGAGCTATGTAAGCTAGATGGGTGGTAAGCAAAACTGCTGCATTTACAAAACCAATGCATGTTATGGGAGTTTTCTAATCCAGGGGGTCTCCACCAGCAGCTCGGGAGTCACCAGTAGCTCGCCACCCCTTCGTAGCTCGCAATTGATTAGGTAGGAACAAATCTAATTCTATAATTCATTTTTCCGTGTTAGACATTATCATAATTGTTCAAATTTATTATTGTTAAATTCACTGACTTTGTGCATAGTAAACAACTATGTGATGATAAATAATGAATGTGCCCAATATAGGCTTATTCCCACAAAGTATCACTTTTTTTCTTCTTCTTCAGGGCCGCTGAAAGGAGTCGCTCTCTGCCTTTATCGTCCGAGAAAGTAGCTCATAGGTGAAAATAAAAAAATAAAAAAAAAGGTTGGAGACACACGTCTAATCTGTAGCTCGTGACTCCCCCTATTTGTAGAAGAGAAGAGCTGTAGCAAGCGAAAAAAAACAGCTCAACCATTTGACACATCCTTGACCTACAGCATCAAAGTTTTTATATAACAATCCGTTGTTACAATGAGGTCGATCTTTTTCAACTACTCTAACCATAAAAGTACAAAATTGCTGGAATACTATATGTGGGCTTTAACTGATTAACTTCCTGACAAAACGCCCCAAACATTGGTTACATTTTCATTTTCGTTCACCGTCTTCTAGTGAGAAAGTAAACTCGCAGCTCTTTAATTTGTGCCTGAACGCGCCAAGGCCAGCAAAAGATCAAATGTTATGAGGCGTTCCATATTTCACCAGCAGCCTGGTACAGAGGCGCTGGAGTGTGCTCAGGATTCATCGCTGCAAATGGTTTCGGAAACACTTAGGGTAATTGTCATATGCTTATTAAGTGAGGGTGATTGAGGTCTGACCAGAGCTGCCACTAGAGTCTCCGCCTTTTACTGTACATCCGGCTTTAGGCGGCACTCACAGGACATCACATCCTTTTTTTGTTCTTATTGGCAGAACATTTTTCTGTATTTTAAGCAGTATTTTATTAATTTCATATGTTTTATTTTTTATTATTTCAGATATCAGAGTACAGATATTTTTTTATTCTCCCACAAGATCATAGCTGTTAAATTTAACAAACTAGTCACGCCTTTTGAAACTAATGTGCACCACTTTCTGCATCTTTTTCAAAAGGGGCCTGCGGGGGCAGGACAATGTGATTCAAACACATTTGCGCATGCATTAGCCAACACTAGCCCCATTTCATTTAGCAAGTGACATCTATGTCACAGCGGCTAACTAGACTGGGTTTTCCCAAAAAAAAGGCTCCACTCAGCACTCGACAAAAAGCGGACTTTGGACCATCCTGTAAAGACGTTTTCAAGAGGGAACGAAGACACCATACAAAAATCATTGGGTAATTCTTATTACAGGTACACCCCCACCAGCTATAGGAGTGAGATAGCAGATGTCAGCTCACGTAACATGGACCTTTTGAAGACAAAGTGGAGAGGGAGGTTCTTCCTAAATGTGGGAACTCCTCCTTTACACCTTTAACATAACGGAAAGCCAATACAATACTTCCCAGTGTGTGTTTACAGCTCTAACCCCGCACTTCTTCCGTCCTTAACCAGTCGGTGATGGGTTCGAAGGCACGTTCCACTGATAAGCAGGGTAACTGACCGTGACTTTGTGCTGTCCGGTGAGTTTGGCCACTGCACAGCAGTGGGCTCTAGACAGCGGTTCAGCACACAGGCGGTCTCCCCGCTCAGCACCGTGAAGTTCCAGGACGATTTTGTTCCACGGGAGGCAGGGATCAGGTTTACGGCCCTAGAAATAAGAAAAAAAATAACAGTCAAGTAATTAGTTTTTTTATTATTCACAAAAGAACAAATTAAACGACAAAAACAAGAGATGGGAGATTTATAAGGGATCAACAAATAACGTGTGTGTGTATGTGTGCGGTGTGGATCATGTGCAATAGTAATATGTAGAAGAGTACACATGAAAATGACAAATAATAAGCAAAATATGAATCCAATTTGATCACACATTTTATAGTTCTGCATGGATGAAAGAACGACATTAAAGGTATGGCGGCTTATCTACTTCTTTTTATCTGTGGATTCCTCAAAGACCAGGGGTGCTTCACACTTTATTCAGAATGCGGCTACTTATAAAAGGATCAAGTCAAAATGAGTCGTACCTACTACAAAAAATGCTAAATCATAGTATTTATTTCAAAATAAATATTCTTTATACCTACAATGTATGTTTATGTACATGCAAACCGATGAGCCTATATTAGCAACAACAACAACACAATTATCAATGTCATTTATTGTCATTACCGAGTTTTACTTTATGACTTGCACTGATTGAATCGGCCAGAGATGCATTGTCTGGAAAAATGTGGTATCGCTGACAAGTTTGTCGTGGTTTTGCTTTCCTGCACTGAGCGCCCGGTCGGTCGTGCGCATGTGCGTCACCTAAGTGTCAGTAAAACATTACCAGAGTAAAAACACATGTGAGTCACCTAAGTGTCAGTAAAAACATTAACTGAGTTAAAACACACATGTGCAGTCATAAGTGTCAGTAAACATTACAGAGTAAAACACACATGTGCCAGTCACAAAGTGTTTTCAGTAAAACATTACTGTGTAAAAACAGATGGTCATTTGGACTGTGGTGCCATGTCCATGTGCCAGGTGGCCGTTTTTTTTAATCCAAATTTTTTCCCTCTCCTCGTTTATAAAAATAATTTGATCCCACACCTCTGCGTTACAATCACATTCGTTACCTTCTCAACCATGTGCGGGTTTACGTCCTGTCCTGCGTTGGGGAAAAACACCAGAAAGTGGGCGGAGCTTTGATGCAGAGCCGGTAACGCGCACTTTTACATTAATAGAAGACATCAGAGTAAAGGACGTATGTTTTCCAGCATCTGACCCCGTCCTCAAGCCTGGTTTAGTCCTGGTTTAGTCCTGGTTTAGTCCTGGTTTAGTTGTTTTAAAGCGTGAAGTCCCCCGCGATCACTTTTGCTGCTCTCTGATGTGGAGGTGTTCGCTGCTGCGCGCATCCTCAAGCGAACAGTTTTTTAAGGTAGTTGATCCATGGCATCGTGATCACGGGAAGTTTAGGGGGTACTGTGGCGTGCAGAACGCAAAACTCCGGATATCTCTGGACTACACACAAATGCATTAACGGAGTTTTCAAAATCTCCATTTGCCCGGAGTATTTTGTATATTATTGTTTTTAGATGTGTACTTTTTTATTTATTTAATGCGATTCTACCAAAACTACCTTTGCGTACGACTGGTAGATCGCGTATCGACGTATTGTGCACCCCTGCTCAAGGATATTGGTACTTCCTAATTGTCAATCATTCTGGTGATACGTACCTCGTCAAAGAGGACCAGAGAGTTTCCGTTCTTTCCTAAATTTGGGAAAATCCTCCTTTATACTTCCTATTAACATAAGATAGAGAACTTTTATTATGTCCACCAGTGGGGAATTTTCCAAAGTTGCAGCGCAATACAGTCCAGCAGTAGAGAGCAAAAGATGGAGAACACAAAATATCATAACTGCTGTGTTTCTGAGCTAGCTCTAAATACGTCAATATAATCTATCATTAAACAGTCTAGTGATTATACCATGTAAAGATATGACAATTTTATATTTGTCAGCAGTGTTAAAATTGCGACAAACTTTAATTGTACTTTATGGGGAAGACCACAGCTACCAGCTTCTTTCTCTGGATAAAAGTGGCAGTGAGCTACTCCTTGGTACAGATGAAATAAAGTTAAAATAATGGTGTGCTAAATGGTCAATGGTTTTATCTGATATATTTTGAGGTTCTTTCCAAAGATTTTGAAATGGCAACAAATGCATGAAACAACAATCTTATTTCAAGCTGCAAAGCATTGTATTTCTTTTTCCATTTGGCAAATCTGTTTCAAGACCGTCCAAAAGGTTTTCTCTTCATTTAGCATTTTGGTTCGGGTTAATAATGATTTAAAACATTTCTAAATTGTGAAGTCTCATTACCCACAAGACAATATAATGTATATCTGCACAAAGCTAATTCACAAATTGTTTTAAACATGTAGCTACTTGTAAAAAAGCTTGTAGCTTTTTCAAACTTGTGATTAGAACAAACAGTTTGGAGAGAAGTTAGAATGCATTTCATTACATTGTTTTTTTTTTTCAATTGTGGTGAAACCAGCTTTTTATGAAGTCATAATATTCTTGGGCCAGTTACAGTCATAATCTGGGACACCTTTGATTTTGATCAAATCCTTATGGCAGGATTCTTAAAACAACTGAAGGAAAGAAACCGCCTCTCAACTTTTTGAACAAAACAGTAGAATGTTTTCCTTTTTTTTTATAAATTTAACTTCATTAAGTGTAGTTTTCTCACTCCCACCATACTTCCCTATACGTAGTATGCCACATCCAAATGCTCGTTCTTTTTTTTTTTTTTACTTGCAGACCAAGTAGCAAGTGATGTTTTGTTCTTTGAGCAAAAATGACATATGATTCATAACAGACAATAGTAAACGATGTAAGATCCCATTACAGGGGTGGTGGTCAAAGGAAGAGCAAAGAAATTATGGTCTGGATTAGGAGATGGTCAAGTTACTAAACATGAATGAGTCACCCTGGAACTCAAGTCGCGGGTGTAAAAGTCCGAACTATAACATGTTCCAAAGGCTGTGAAACTTAGATGTTGGCATGTTGTATATGTCCTTTTTAAATGGAAGGCTGTAGATATGTCTTTCCCCCTTGTCCTCGTGCCCTGACAATCATGCCTTCTGCCTGTTTCGTGGAGTTGGAACTAAACATTTAAAAATCGATGAGTTTGTTGAGGTCGGAGTGATGCGAGACGTAGCTGTCTCGGAGCACTAATCTACAGCCTTCTTCACTTTTCTGATGTGCAAATAGGGAACAACTTTGCAAACTTCGTGTTGATTGTTTGGTCCTGTCATCAGTGCATTGTATTGAGCTCCTGTCATGGGCCCATCACCGCCCCCGTCCTGAGCTGGTCACTGCGAGTGTCATGTGGGGCCAAGTGCAGCAGTGTGGAGCTGTCTACCACACCCAAGCCTCTTATTCGCTGTGACACGCGCCCACACCTTTTGAAATGCACAGTTGCCTTTCTTTTTTCCCTGCAGCAGCTGTTCCACGGAAGGTCACGAGGTGGTCTCATGCAACTCCCAAACTCCAAATAGCGGGGGAATGTAGTTTGTTGTTTTGTATTGAGTGGTGTGTTTGTTTTTCTTTTACGTGGACAATTTTTTTTTTATCCCAACAAAGTCTCTGTGTTTAGATTTCTTCATGTCCCAGATATCATGATGGCTTAGTGGCTGAATCAGAGGTACTTTTTGAGGCGTTTATTAATTTTAGCCAATGAATGCCAATGGGCTGCCAAATATGTCATTCCTAATACTGTAATACACAGCAGAGGCAAGATATGGGCCAGCCGGTGGCTGTTAGTGGATAGTATGCTTCGCTTTTTTTTTCCTATTTTATTTCCGCCTATTTCGTTTCTCAGTAAGAGGTCTTCAGGTCTGGGGAAAAGGGTCTACAGGACCAAGCTCCTGACCAAGCCTTAGTGGCATCAGGCTGGGTTAAATGTTAGAGAAAAAATTGCACTACAGGAATTCCATCCTCATTTATTTCTTTCTTAATCCATGTGGGTTATAGGGCGTGATAATCAGAGCTGCACCTAATTCACAGAGCACCAGCCCCTCACTGATCTCCTGCAGGTGTCCACAGGAGGATGGCTGCTCTAGTCTGAGCTGCTAGGTCATTCAGGGGGGCTTCATTTGCAAAGTGGGGTAAGTATATTGCCAAGGACCACAATGGACAGCAGACATCAGTGGGGAGTGGTGAAATAGATCTTGTGTTGGGCTCAACCCACTAACCTAAGCCCAAGGCCAATGCTTAACCAACTGAGCCACTGTCGCTCTCTGAGGGGATTTACTCAAAGAGCAATTTTTTAACTAAAACAAATATTCTTTGTTTTACAGACACACACTTAACGTTTTATAAAGAATAATGCTCATCCATAGCTCCTTCAACACACACACATAGGGATGGACTGAAGCGGTTCGATGCCAAGGCAAAATTCTATTTCCTTTATAAAGAGAAAAACAGCACAAAATCCATCTGTACGCTTGTGCTACTCGACATTTAGGGTTGTCAAAATTATAATCGGAAAGTTTCCTGATGTGACATGCAGTTAAAAGAAAATAAATTCACCCAATGACAAATTGTAGGGTTGTGTTATAAAGAAATGTTGCAAATTAAATATATTATTGATGGCGGGGGTTTGTTGTCTCCATGTGCACATAGTAAACCGGCAGGTGTAATCAGGCGTAGTACTTTACTGCAAATTTTTTTATGATACATAATGTGTCGTGTGATGGTTATAGTTAGAGAACCAGCAGCATTCTAGGGGGCCAATGTCAGATTAAACATAAAAGCTGGGGTAGCTAACTTCTTTCAAAACTTTTGGTCTCTCTATCCCCTAGTTTTCACATGGATGCATTCTGGTCTCTGCCAATTGGAAACAAGATAGTTTATTTTTTTTTCTAATAGAATAAAGATAAGCCTTTTGTGGTTGATACGTCAATATTTATGTTGGGACAAACATGATACCAAGAAAAAGTATTTTCTTTGGTATATAGTATTTAGTATTTTTATTAATGCAATTTCAGTATATTTTTAATAAAATTCTTGTATAGCCATGTCATTTTTGCATGGAAATATTCTTAACGTCCTTGAAAAAGTTGACATGGCTTTCCAACCCTCCCGCAGTGAGTCACCATTCACACCAGCCACAACCACTAAACCTCGAAAGCCACTGCCCTTGTCACCACGGTCCATGTTATTCACTATGATGGCCCACATCAAACCAGCCTTCTATGTTGTTTTCTGTTTTTCCTCTTTTGGATGGGATGTCACGGATGAATATGGCAGCTCGGCGAAGTTTGGCGGGGTGGTGCGGTTGTCCGTTCCGATCGCGGATCCGCTGTGTAGGGCCTGTGTTTGGGTTTGTGCTGCGAGTCCCCAGGGAGCCCACAAGCTGTTGCTCCATGTAAGTTTACCTACATGATGAGGGACCCGATGGTATAGTTCGTTCGGGGGACGTACAGTAAAGTGTTGGCCCCTCCGACTCTCAGCTGTGTGGAGGCCAGCTGAGAACCTCCCTGAGTTTATCGAAGGAAGTTATTTGTTATTTTTGCCGTGAGCCTATTTACAGAGTCTGTGCCAAGAAGTGTTTAAAATTGAGTTGAAATTGTACAAAAGTGAGCGTTATAATTGTGGAATGTAATTATACGTGTTGTGCAACGTCTAAAATAGGATAATAACTAGTGGTGGGAAGCAACTCTTTAGTAGGTTACAATTTAATTGGATCAGAACAGCATTCACTTGAATGAACAAAGATAAATATGATGAATGAATTATTAATGAAAACGAACAAGAATCTGCTGGACCATTTGTGGAACACTGTTAATTTAATTATTATGTATTACAAATAATTATAAATAAAACAGTTCCACAATATGTCCATGGCAGAATTCATGTTCTTTTGTCTTAATCAATCATTCATCCATATTTACTTAGTTCATTCAAGTGAATTGCTGTTTCTGATCCAATTAGAATTGTACCTTACTAAAGAATTGCTTCCCAACATAGTATTATCTATTTTAGACGTTGCACAACACGAATCCATTACTTCCACCATTATAACTCTCACTTCTTGTACCCAATTTTCAAACTAATTTTATTACACTTCTTGTCACAGCTCTTCCGGTTATAGGGCTCACGGCAAAATAAACAATTAACTTCCTTCGATAAACTCAGGTGAGGTTCACAGCTGCTCCAACAGTGAGCGTCGGAGGGGTCACACTTTACTGTACGTCCCTCGAACGAGACTATACCATCGGGTGTCCCCATCATGTAGGTCAACATACATGGAGCAAACAGCTGTGTGCTTGGGGACTCGCACACAACCCCAAACACAGGCCGTACACAGCTGATCCGATCGGAAAAAAAACAAAAAAAAAAAGGACAACCGCACCACCCGCCAATACTTGCCCGATACTGCCATAGTTCAACGTGACATTCCAGTCCCAAAGAGGAAAACCAGGAAAACAACAGAAGGCTGGTTTGATGTGGGTCCCGCATCAAATGAATAACTGGACGTTGGTGACAGGGCCAGTGGCTTTCGGGTTTAGTGGTTGTGGCTGGGTGGTGCAATGTGGATGTGACTCCACTGTGGGGGTTGGGGAAAGGCCATGTCACTTTTTCAAGGACGTTTATGATAATACATGCAAAAATTTGACATGCTATACAAGATTTAATTAAAAATATTACTGAAATTGCATTATAAAAATACTAAATATAAATACCAGAAATACTTTTTCTTGGTATCATGTTTGTCCAACAGAAATATTGGGACGTATCAGACCAAAAGGCTCATCACTTTAATCTTTAGAAAAAAAAATAAACAATTTGTTTTCCAATCGGCAGGACCAAGGAATTGCTATCCATGTGGACAAATAGGGATAGGAGACAAAAGTTTTGAAAGAAGTTAGATACCCCAGCTTTTATGTTTAATCTGACATTTGCCCCTTATAATGGCTGCTGGTTCTATAAACTAGAACATCACACGACACAATATTTATCATAAAATAATTTGCAGTAAAGTACTACGTGATTACACACTGCCGGTTACTATGGTGCACATGGAGAGCACAAAACCCCTCGCCATAAAATCATATATATAATTTGCAACCACTTTATAGAACAATCCCATTACATTTGTATTGGTTAGATTTCTTTTCTTTTAACTGCATTGTCACATCAGGAACTTCGATTATCTATTTTGACACCCTAGAATGTTCGGTAAGCACAAGCGTATACAGATGGATTTTGTGTTGTTTTTCTCTTGATAATCGGAAATGATTTTTGCCTTTTGGCAACGGAACGCTTCAGTTTCCATCACTTATGTGTGTGTGGTTGAAGGAGCATGGATGCAGCATTATTCTTTTATAAAACGTGTAAGTGGTGTGTCTGTTTAAAACAAAGGTATATGTGTTTAGTTATAAATTCTCTTTGAGTAAATCCCCTCAGGAGGACGACAGTGGCTCAGTTTGGGTAAGCATTTGCCTTTGGGCTTGAGTAGTGGGTTTGGAGCCAACCACAAGATTATTTCACAACTCCCACTGATGTCTGCTGTCATGTGTCTTGGGCATTTACTTAACCCCACTTTGCATGAGCCACGCCTGAATGACCTAGGACAGCTCAGACTAGGAGCAGCATTCCTCCTGTGGACCCATGCAGGAGGATCACGTGAGGGGTGTGTGTGCTCTGTGAATTAGGGGCAGCTATGATTTATCACGCCCTAAACCAGACATGGATTAAGGAAAGAAAAAATAGTGGATGGATGGAATTCTGTGTAGTGCAATTTTTCCTCTACATTTACCCCATCTGGATGACACTAAGGCTTAGGTCAGGAGCAAGTGGAGCATGTAGGATCCCTTCCCCAGACCTGAAGACCTTCTTACTGAGAAACGAGAGGCATACTATCCACTACCGGCCACCGTGAGGCCATTTCTTGCCTCTGGATGTGTATTCCGATTAATGAATGACATATTTGAGCAGCCCATTGGCATCATGTGCTTAAATTAATAAACGCTCTCAAAAAGTTACCTCTGATTCAGCCACTAAGCCTATCATTGATAATCTTGGGACATGAAGCAAGTCTAAACACAGAGACTTTGTGGTATAAACACCATTGTCACGTAAAAGAAAAACAATACACTACACTCAATACAAAACAAAACAAACTACATTCCGCTATTTGGAGGGTTTTGGTGAGGTTGCATGAGACCCTCGGTGACCTTCCGATGGGAAACAGCTGCTGCAGGAAAGGCACTGTGCATTTTTCAAAGTCGTGCGCGTGTCACAGCGAATAAGAGGCTTGGGTGTGGTGACAGCTCCACACTGGCTGCACTTGGCCCCACAGTGACACTGCAGTGACAGCTCAGGGAGGGGGGCGGTGATGGGGCCATGACAGGTGGAATCTTCAGTTACAACGCACTGGATGACAGGACCAAACATGCACACGAGTTTGCAAAGTTGTTCCCTATTTCACAACCGAAAAGTGAAGAAGGCTGTTAGATTAGGGCTCCGAGACAGCTTAGCTGCTCGCATCAACTCCGACCTCAAAACAATCTCATCTATTTTTACTAGGTTTTATCCAACTTATTCCCGGACACAGGCGAATGCTGATTGTCAGGGGCGAGCCAAGGGGGAAAGAATATCTAAAGCCATTCCATTTAAAAGGGACATACAACATGCAAAAATCTAAGTTTCACGCATTGACCAGTTATAGTTGGCTTATACACACTCACTTTGTGTCCAGGGTGACTCATTATGTTTGAGTATTGGACCATCTCTGAAGCCACGACATAATTTCTTTGCTCTTCCTTTGACCAACCACCCTGTAATGGAGTTTACTCGTTTTTCTGTTCTGTTAGAATCAAATGTCAATTTTTGCTCAAGAACAAAACATCATTTGCTAACTTGGTCTGCAAGTAGAACGAGCATTCGGATGTGGCCGATACTACTGTATAGGGAAGTATGGTGGGGAGTGAGAAAAACTACACTTTAATGAAATAAAAAAAAGGAAACATTCTACTGTTTTGTTCAAAAAGTTGAGAGGGCGGTCTTTCCTTCAGTTTTTCGAATCCTGCCATAGGATTTTGATCAAATTCAAAGGGTGTCCCAGATTATGACTGTAATGCCAAGAATATTATGACTTCATAAAAGCTGGGTTTTCACACAATAGAAAAAAAAAAAACTATGTATGGAAATGCATTCTACTTCTCTCCAAACTGTTTGGTTCTATCACAGTTTAGAAAAAGCTACAAGCTTTTTACAAGTCGCTACCTGTTTAAAACAATTTGTGCTGAATTAGCTTTGTGCAGATATACAATATTATTGTCTTGTAGGTATGAGACTTCACAATTTAGAAATGTTTTCAATCAATTAACCTAACCCAAAATGGCTAAATGAAGAGAAAACCTTTTGACGGTCTTGAAACAGGATTTGCCAAATGGAAAAAGAAATACAATCTTTGCCAAGCTTGAAATAAAGATTGTTGGTTTCAGCATTTGTGCATTTCAAAATCTTGTGAAGAACTCAAAATATAATCAGATAAAAACCACTTGATCATTTAGCACACCATTATGTTTATTTTTTTTTTTATTTATTTCATCTGTACCAAGGAGTAGCTCACTGCCACTTTTATCCAGAGAAGAAGCTGGTAGCTGTGTCTCTCCCCATCAAGTACAATTAAAGGTTTGGCAATTTAACACTGCTGACAATATATAATTGTATCTCTTTACACTGTATAGATCACTAGACAGTTATAAATGTAGATTTATTGATCGTATTTAGGCTAGCTCAGAAAACACAGCAGTTATGTATATTTTGTGTGCTCATCTTTGCTCTTTACTGCTGACTGTATGTGCGCTGCAACATTTGAAAATTTCCCCATGTGGACAAATAAAAGGTTCTTTATCTTATGTTAAATAGGAAGGTATAAAGGAGGATTATCCCAAATTTTAGGAAGAACCGGCTCTCCACTTTTGAGCAAAAATCTCTGGTCTTATTTGACGAGCACGTTCACAGAATGATTTACAATTGGACCAACAGTCTTGATGATTCCACGCGCAAGTAGGAACATCCTCTTTGTACCTTTAGCCTGATAGTCAAACTTGGGTCTTTAAAATGATAGCAGACACTCATGTCAATAGACCAGACCAGCCCTGGATCAGGAGGTCGTGGTATAACCTGATACCAATTTATAAAATGCTGTTACTTTCCGCATAGTTTGTTTATAAAGCTATCATTATGTTCAAGCTGCCGAGAACAATAGCCTCTGCGTGTGCTGCTGTAATTGTCCTCTTAGTAAATTTTGTAATGTTGAAGTAGTGTCATGACAAGTAAAGAGTGGCTCATAAAATAACGTAATGGCTTCGATAAATGTCTGACAATTGACTAGTAATTTAATTATGTTGCAGT